TAGGCAGTGGTATGTTTAGAGCTGTGAGCTGGCAGGGAGGGAAGCAGGACAGCACTGAAACCAGCCCGTCCTATGCTGGGTTCAAATTCACCCCCCTGCCCCATGTAGCAGTGGCAGCCTCGAGGCACGCACCTTCTTGCCCATTCCCAGCCCCTCGGCACGTGGATTTCTCTACTGGGGCAGCCTTGCAGCAGCTCAGGCCCATGCCTGTACTGACTGGGCTTATCAAGTATGACATTTCCCATTACTCAAAGAACTAGTCATTTGGGAGAAGCAATGCTAGATGAGACGGGCTTTTAATTTCGTTTAATGGCATTTAGCACATTGATATTTCTGCTAGTGCCTACGGGACCCACTCATGGACCATTGTTTTGACCACTGATAGTCAAGAACATCTGCACGAGCAAAGAGTTCAGCAGCGAGCAGAGACAGCAGTACATGGAAAGACCAGCAGGGAATCAGTGTTCATCATTGCTGTGAGTTCAGAGTTTAAATTAACCCAAATGTGGGGGCCGGGGAATCAGACTGGAACGCCTGCAAGCCTCTTCCTCCTCCTCTCTTTCAGCAGATGGCAATCCTGCTAACAGCACTTTCGTAAGGTTCCCCTGCAGAACAAGTGGAGCAGAACTTGGAGACTTTTTGCTGGTTATTACGTGCCAGATCCAAATGAGGTTGCCCCAAACGCTGAATCATCACAGCCTTGCATGATGTTTGATCGGTCCCGCAGTGCCTTGAGTTACTGCAGAAGGGAGAATGTGGGGCCTGTAGTGGTGTGTCTACCCTGCTGCTTCTGTCGTTAGGGTGGGATGTGCTGCAAGACCCCGTGGTTTGGCTCCAGGCTGGATGATGACCAGCAGTACCTAACAACTCCACCTCCATCCCTACCATGTGCTCCCACCAGGCAGGAGCCAGCAGAGTCCTTGAATGCACAGCGCAGGTCCCACTGTTGGCACAGGAGGAGAGCATCTCTCATCCTCTTGGTCAGCACCCCTGTGGGCTCCTTGTGCCCTTCTCTCATGCCACATGGATTTTGTGGCTGCTCTTGGGGCTGAAATTCCAGTTGCACCCTAACAAGCTTAGAAAACCTTCAAAATGATGCACGAGGCAGGTAAAAAAAGTGCTTCATGAGCTGCCTGGCTTCTGGACTGTCCTCTGGATATATTTTCTTAGTTTATCCTGGCATAGCGTTTCCTAGTTCCATTTTTGAAATGGAGTTTCCTCACTGTCCTGTTCCCTATTTTACCTTGAAAATGGGTACTGCTCCAGAGAAGGCTGCAAGTGAACCAGGGCACCTTGGCTTTCCTCAACCTTTCTGTTGCTCGTTGGCTGAAAACTCCACTGCTCATTTACTTCTGGCACGTTACATGTTTTTAACGATGCCCATAGAGATCAGTTTTTTGTAGAAAACATAAAACCCATAAAAAGTGGTGTGCTCGGTACACTTTCCATTACTCTTAAGTGGAGACTATTTACCCTGTCCAAAGTCACTCTGCAGATCAATAAAATGCCTACTTTACTTACATTTTCTGGCATTTCACGCTGGCTGATTACGTCCCTCTCAACTGAAGACAAATGGTGAAGCAGTATACTCACATGAAACCGAAAATACAAGCAGATCCAAAATACTTTCCTGCTAAGCTAATCCTGCTGGGGATCTCACTAAAGCTAACATTCTCCCTCTGAAATGGCACAGTCATTTTTACCTGCGGCACTGAATGACAACAGTACTACATCAGGACTGCGTGGCATTCTCCTGCACGGTTTTAGAAGATCACATGAGAAGCAACACAAGGGAGAAGCTGACCTAGACTTTCTAGGTATCTTAGCTGCTCAAACGGGACACAAATCCAACAGAGGAGCCCAGCTTGTGAAAAGCAGGACTTCTCATCCTACACGCTTGCAAATTGAAGTCTCTGGAGGACTCAAACAGCACGAGGAGGACAGCAAAGGGTGCAGGTTCTGGCTGTTGCTGGGGAGCACATCACGTGCTGTAGCAAGACACGAAGGCTGACTTCCTGGGCTCCTCTCAGCATCCTCGGGTATCTCCCACAGCTGTTAGCAAGCTGGGTCCTGCTCGTAGAGCCTGAGGAGGCAGGAGTCGATGGCAATATTTATGAAAGCACACACACATCTCCCTGGAACATGACCTGCTCTTCAAAATCTCTCAGCAGCCCAGCTCCTATAGTCCACTTCATAGGAACTGGACGCTTCATGCCATGGGAAGCTGAGCACCAGCAGGAAGCATAACTGTAGAGAGATACTTACACAAACAAGTCTAGAAAAAAAAAAAAAGAATCGAGCACAATTAAAATGTGTGACTTATGCATAAGGGGTCAGAATTGTTTTACAAACCGCCGAAGGCATTTGGCCCCCTCAGAACCTTTCATTGCTTCCAAGTGCACCAACAGTGGAATGTTTGCTTTTCACGCAGACCGATTATTTTGTTACGATGGGCAGAAGTGATGCACACATCTGAAGGACTTGAGGGAATGTGAAAGTTGTGTTATAAAACCTCACTTTCTGCTTCATTTACAGGTATACTAATGAGGTTTTTTCCCGCTCTTTTTTTAACATAAAAGCTCCGAGAATATAATTAAATAGCCCTGTCCATCTCCCTCCCTGCTCCCCTGCAAAAAGGATGCTGAATAAGACAACTCTTACAATGTGCATTTCAAAAATGGGGGAACAGAGACACAGATACATCAAGCAATCTTCCCCAAAACACATGGAAACCCAGTGGCAAAGCCAGCAATACAAACATGGTTTGGAAAAAAACTTGATACCAATGCTATCTAAATCATAACGTGTGTTTAGTGAATAATGTAGAACATTGGGTGGTAAAAATTAAAATAATCCTTTTATTGATACTCTCAAACATAAAACATAGGTGACAGTATAAAAAACACAAAAGATAAATCTATTCCTTGATGTACCTAATTGACAGACATTTCATTTTTTTTCCTCAGTAATCACCTACAGGGGATTGTTGTCTTCTCCCTGATCTGTGTCACAAACAGCTTCGCTTTAGCATTTTTTTAACTGTACTGTTTTGTTCCCATGGAGTCTAAGGACCGTGATGAGCACCGCGGTTGTGGCTGTTTTTCCTAAAGCCCGATCCCAAAAGGAGCATCTTGTCTGTTCCACCCAAACACTGCACAAAGGGTTGTGCATCTTTTCAGCTTTCCAGCCTTGACAGATCCCAGCAGGAGTGAGGGTATTAACCGGGTTCTACTGGATTGCAAAGCCACAAAGTTATGGGCTCCTCTAGGACACTTCCTTCGAAGTCATCAAGGCTTGGAAAAGCCACAAAGCTATCAAGAATAAGTAAGATTAGAACTCAAAAGATTTCTAATAAAGATAAATCTAATACAAATTTATTCTATAAATATTTTTTTCCTCTCCAAACACAAAACACTTATAGAAATGTACAAGAAATATTCCTTGGAAAAAAAATGAAGCTACAGAAAATTACAAAGTATCCAGCTGCTGTAATTGAACCTGAACCTTGCAGAACTGCGCTGTGCTCAGTCCTGTCTGTAAACCCACCGCAGTTCCCTCGGTGCAATCACTCTAATTCTCTCTCCGTAAACACTGTTGTTAATCACTTTTATCTTCTCCTTGGTAGTGTCTGTATTCTGGCTTCAGCTCCCATGTGTTTTTGTGGGTCCCCTTCACATTGTAGATACCTATTTCTCTTAGGATTTCTTTCAAGTATATCTGAAAGGAAACAAAAATTCAAATTATACAGGCGGGCGATTGCCACAGTTCCTACATGATGTCATATGATCTGCCTCAAATCACACCGACCTGCCTCATAAAAACGACTCGGTGGACAGCACCGTTGGCTGACCGGCACCGATTTGTGCCACAACGGCTCTGTGGTAGACATCAACCCCCAGGCACCAACAGGGATTGAAGCAGGCTGGGTGTAATGCCCAGGGCAAGCCCCGGGGATGCAGCAGGGACCACGCAAGCCCCAGTGGTGACAGCCGGGGTGTGGAGAGGCAGGGACTGGCTAGATGGATGCTCCACGGGCTGCCGAAACGAAGCTCCCAGCGCCTCTGGGAAGGTAATGCTGAGGTTCTCTCACACATCCTCCTCCTGCTGGAATTTCTCCATTTCTCCAAAGCTCTTGGCTTTTCGTCTTGCTTGGGCTGGGATTATCTTGAAACTCCCTGTCTTATTCAGACCCCATCAAAGCCCTGAGCTGCTGTTTTTCACGCCATTTTGCAAAGCTTTAAGCATTTTATTATGGCCTCGTTTTTAGAGGAGACCTGAGTAGGTGTCAGAGAATTTTCTAATACGTTCAAATATTAAGGCTAGGAAGAGAAATTAAAAAAAAAAGCAAAGCTATGATACTGGAAGTATAACCTTTGACACAAGACAGCTCACTAGTATCATCATCCTTTACTCTTTAATATAAACACCAGTAATTTGTTTCGTTTTTTAAAGAGCCATTTGCCTGCTTGTTTGTTTAAATATTAATCGGGACTGACTTGAGTGGATTGCCATGGCAACTGCAGACCACAGTTTAAGAATCCTCACATTAAATTCATAATTGCTTTAGTTTGAGCAATTTAATCCTCTTTGAGGGCATATATCGAACTGGAGTTACTGGAACCTTTGTATTTTCTGTATCTACGGTCCCACTAAGTGCAATTATCAACATACTCCAACTCATTCAGAAAAGCACATATTTGTTGATGACACAGAAAAAAAGAAAGGTGGATTGCCCAGTCTCTTCCTTATACTCATCCCATTTTTTGCTAAATGGAAAAGTTGGGAAATAAATAAGTAGCATGTTCTCAGTCAGTAAAAGAAGTCTCTTTTAAAGAAACCGATCATTATCCTCTCCAGGTACACAGCAAAAATTTACAAAGCAAAAAAACCTCCCCAGATTTTGGACTCCTGTAGCAAAATTATTCTTCAAAACCTGCCTCAAAACCTCGAGGGGTGTTTGTCCAACAAGTAAGAAGGATGACTGCATATACAAACTAGTTTCTCCGGAGCATCTGCGGGCAGGAGCCGTGAGCAGGGAGCTCATTTTGGGCTGTGTGGATGCTCTTCAGTCCCCGAGGGTGCACGATGCGAACCCCGGCAGGTGGCAGCAGGAGATCGCTACAGAGCTCCACGCACACCTTCCCTCATCTCACCTACTGCAGGGACGCTGCCCCGATTTGTACCCGAGACAAACGCACTCACTACAGCAGCAATTAGGGCGCAGACGTTTTTGTAAGACGACGCTGCTGTTGCGCGGTGCATTTTTTAGAAGGTGATGAAAGCACAAGTGAAAAAGCGATTTCTACACGGGCGTGTGTAGATGTGTACACCTGCACACCCACTGCTTTGTTTGCAATCCTTGTGCACGCACATGAGGTAGCTTTCAGTAGCCTCACTGACAGACACTTAAATTCTGCTCTAGACCGCACGGACAGATTGATGAGAACTGGAAAAAATAGGGAATTGCACTTAGTCCCACAGTGTACATCCATATGCAGCTCCTGGGCTGACAGACCTAGTCTGGGAAGCCGGGTGACAAGGCGTGATGATGCCACAGGGCTCAGGCAGAATGAAACTGCTACGGCTGTAGGGTCCACAGCTCCCAGTGGCTCGCTGCTTTTTGGTGGCAGTGTCTTTGGGTGACATTTTGCATGAGGCAGTTCTCACCTCTCGCTACTTGCTCATGCCTCCAAACCACCCACCCAGTTAAACGAAGGTCATTTTTCATTTCAACTCATTTTCAGACCCGATTCCCCAGGCAGTTCTGCTTCTCTCTGGCCAAAACTTCCAGGAGTTTTGATTCAACAGCTTAACAAAATGGAACAAAACCAATCCGAACTGAACACCGAGGTAACATCTTTGCCACCGGTAAGGGCACTTCAAGCTGGGACGGTGAACTGCAGCAACTGAGGATTTGCAACATACTCCTGTTTGCCACATCCACTGCGGGGGCAGGGGTGGGGGGAAACAAGCAGCAGTTGGTTTTAGGGAGGGCAGCTGAGAGCCTTAACCCAAAACCCCCACTCTGCATGCACAGCCTACGCTGAACTTTTGGAGCTTTTAGACAATTACGAATCAGGGATAACCCTGCTGTACTGTACCATCCTTGAGAGTGAGTGGCTTGATGAGATGAGTTCAGGGGACGTTACAATTTTTCCTGCAGGGTGACTTCTTCTTCCAGAAAAACCAGGACCCACCACCGGGGGTCTGTGCTGTGCCAGGCTGGCCTATACATCTTAAGCATACTACTCAGTCTGATACCATATCATCAAGAGAAACTCCCCACTTCCCCCAGTAAAGACAAATACTGAATTTTAGCATCTAGTGAGGGCTAATCAGGGGCCCACAGTTTCCTCTCAGAAAGGGATTCAATATGTATGTATATATATATATATATATGTATATATATAATTCTAACACAGAAGCTAATCTGTAGGTAATCTGTTTGTACATTTAAGGCATCCTCTGCTCTGTTACACCTTCTCTCATGATTTTTTAAAAAATTATAGAATTATGGGATAAAAATTTCTGAGAGAGGAGTTTACTTTGAAAACCCTTCCGAAACTTTGAGGGGAAAACACCCCCCCTCCCTCCATATTTAGGATAACCATTACTTAAAGCTGAAACAAAAGAAAAAAATGGAAACAATCTACCCCATTTTGAAAAAATACAGTTCATATTAGACCACTGGTTCCATATTGGTTCCATTCTTCACAAATATTTGATTGCTCATATCAAAAGCACATTGTGTTCCCAGCCACGAAGTTCAAATCTAGAATTACTACAGTATTTCTAGGGAGTGCTCAGTATTTACATCCAGGTAGGTGGCAACAGATTTGCCTACTACTGCAAATTGTTATTTTTCATTAAAAAGGAAAACAAATAAACCCAGGTTTCCCTAATATAACAGTAGTTTGCATTCAGAATAGACTTGCTTTGTGGTTTCACTATCGTAAAATAAAAGATAGCAGCAATTTCCTGCGTAACATGCAACATATTCTGTAGCCATTCTTACCATTATGTAAGAAAAATAGCTCTATTTATTTGTTAATTCACTAACAAAGATGTTAATTCCCTTAGATAAATGTGTTTTAATTATTATTAGCCAGTGATGTAAGCATCTAGAACTTCATTTTAACAGGAGCTGAGGAGACAGCAGCAGCATTTTTTTCCTCATGTCTGAAAATAACTTCAACATTTAGAAACTCAAGAGGAGAAATTACATACCGAGACAATCTTAGGTGCTATGACAGAAAATAAAGCAGTGAACACTCAGCAGAGATTAATTAGCAGCCAACCTCTGTACAGCAGGGGGAAAGCAAGCCTATTCACCTGTTGGCATTTTACTTTTTTTTTGTCAGGTATAGCTGCTCTGCGAACAATAAAGTCACAGTGGGCGTTAGGAACAGATTCTTTACTTTCAGAAAAAAAACCCAAAAGTTGCACACCAGAGGTTGAAGTGCGCAGCACCAGGGATGCTCACACACAGAGGGAACACTGGCTGAACAGCAGGAACCAAGGGATAGTATTTTTAAAAGAAAATGGATGCTGTTAGCAACTCCCTACAGAAGTTTTTAATGGGAACTCAGATGGGAAATTAGGATAGAATCATAGAATCATAGAACAGTTTTGGTTGGAAGAGACCTTCAAGATCATCGAGTCCAACCTTTGTCCTAGCTCTACCAACACCACTAAAACACGTCCCTAAGTACAACATCTACCTGTCTCTTAAATACCTCCAGCGATGGTGACTCCACAACCTCCCTGGGCAGCCTGTTCCAATGCCTGACAACCCTTTCAGTAAAGAAATTTTTCCTAATATCCAGCCTGAACCTCCACTCGTGCAGCTTAAGGCCATTTCCCCTTGTTCTATCGCTTGTTACTAGGGAGAACAGACTGACCCCTGCCTTGCTACAACCTCCTTTCAGGTAGTTGTAGAAAGTGATAACGTTTCCCCTTGGCCTTCTCTTCTCCAGGTTAAACAGCTCCAGATCCCTCAGCCGTTCCTCGTATGAGACATGCTCCAAATCCTTTACTAGCTTGGTAGCCCACCTACCAAGCGGGATAGCTTTAGATGAGGGGTAGATGACGTACTGAAATGTAGTTTTGAATTTATCACCATACGGGCTACCCAGTGCACGAAGAAAGGCACCAGGAAGAGGATTTTGGTCATTTATTTTCTCAGGAGATCTGGGTCTGTGGAAGCTGGATGGGCACCAATATCTACTGCAAGACCCCAGCTGGGAATGAACGTGAAAGCCCTAACTCTCACACACAGCTCAAAACTGAGACCGCACAGCCCACTCAGGGGAAGACGGTTTAATGGGTTGATTAATCTCAAAAGCCCTACGGGACTTTTAGCCATCAGTAGAGAGACTCAAATAAGAAACACAGATGCAAAGATATAGCCCAAATAACACGTGATGTTGGGTCAAATTGGTCTACCATTTCCTTTTTAACATATCTGTATTACTACAACAGTTGAAAAAAGAAAAGGCTAGATTTGCTGAGATGAAAGTACACAGCAGATCTACTAGGCTACGGGCAGAATATATTCAGGAGCATATTATGACAGCAGAGATATATAGACAGGCATTGAAATTAATCATAAATGTAAGAGAAGTATTCAGGAGGTATTTTGCTCTATACATCTAATCTAATAACTACCCTATACATCTTATCCTTAGGACAGTGACTAAGACAAAAATTGGATTAATCTTGCCCAATTTATGGTGCTTAATGAAAAAACTTGTGTCAGAACCATAGCTTTTGCAGGCTGCTTTGAGCTGATGCAGAGACAGGTACATTCAAGAAGTAAATCACATCACAGGAGGAAGAAAACTTTTGTTCTCCCATGGCTTAAGTGGGAGTTGTGGGTGACAATTTCTAGATGAAGTCATGCTAGATGGGATAAATCTGCACCTACTTACAAAGTGATCGAGATAGTGACTGTCATACCTACCCCTTACAAAAAAAAACTTAACATTTTCTTGCCACTCCCTCCACATCTTCCTCCCTCTCAGCTCTCACGATCCACACACCTTCTCTGCCACACAGAAAGGAGTTGACTCATTAGATAAATGAATGGAACAGAAATCATGAATACCTTATCCAACTTCTTCCAAGGTACCAGGAACACTGTGAACGTACATATATTTGAACTGGGTAACATCTTTGTGCAGCTTCTTAACCAAACAGATTGTGTACCTTATACAAATCCTCTGATACAGATCCACTTAACACTAAACATGAAGTGAGCAAAACTAGTGAGCAACTCCATTTTCCCCCCCTTTTTACAGAGGAATAATTTTTTGCATAATCCAGCTGTCACTGTTCCTTCTTCTGCCTTAGCTCTAACAACTTCTAAAATTGTTGCTCCATTTAGACTCAAACATAATTAAGTCCCTTTAAGTTTTCTGAAAACTGCAGCTGGGTTGAGGATAGATATCGAAGTTAGCAGCGACAAACAACAAAAGCACCAAAGATACTTCACGTGTCTCTGCCTCCCCTGGCTCCTGCCTGGTCTACTCAAGGAAAACTTCAACAGGGGAAGAAGGGAAAGAACTGGAAACTTAGCGTTCACAGATGAAGGGGCTGGCAGACAAACTGCAGGATAACAAAACCATCACATAAACACACGTCTTCATGCTTTTCTTGTCTGTGTATCAGAACAGTGTTTAAAAAAAAAATAAACCCCAAATATTAAACCCCTAAACTCTTAGTCTAGAAATTATTCTATTTGTAAAGGAAATCAAGTGATTTTGGGGGTGTTGACATGATGCCTGAGCTCCTAACAGGGATTCTATCTGCATTTAATACAAATTCCACGAAACACCATTTTCTAGACCCACCGAAAAAGAGTAACCCCTGTTGCTATCCAAGATAAAGTTCAGAAGCTGAAGGAAGGGCTGACCACTCACACAAGCTCTCTACTGCCAATAGCAACAGAACTAGGCTGTTATTTCAGTGAGACGGGAGTAGCATGGGAGACATCAGAGCATTACAGAATTTTGTTTCTAGTATTAAAGCAAACCTAAATAGGAAAGAGACCATTTAGATTATTTAAACCACCTCAGTCAAGAAAAAGCATACTCACTACAATGCTTGGTATCTTACACAGTCCTAAAAAAACCCTCGATGATTTCTGTTTGTTGTAAAACATATTTAGAGAGCTGTTTCAAATGTTTATGGTATATATTAAACTATTTTCTGGATATGGAAAACATACACAATAGTAACTACTGAATATCGCTATATTACAAGAGCACTAGTACGTACCACCGGCTGTTTGGTTATGTCCACCAGGTCTTTAATGTTGTAATACTGATGTTTTTCAAAGGCCGAAAAAAGCATGTCCAACACTTGTTGTTTATCAGCTCGAGCGCGTTTTCCATCTTCTTTCTTCTTCTTCTCATATTCAATCTACCAGACACAAAACATGTTTTAAAGACATGCATATGTAACGCTGTATAATTCTCAGTGCTGAACATTAAGACACAAAAAACCTCTTCCATTTAATAAATCATTGTTCAATGACTCAGTGCTTTTCGTCTGGAAAATTCTCCTTAAGCACTCACATTTCTTTTAGGAACATAAACTAAGCATTTTGTCCTCAGCATAATAAGCTTTTCAGATATGTATCTCTGCTGTAACCAGTAAAAAAGCCCAGAAACAGAGCCTGCATGATGTGCCCAAACCTGGAAAGAGAATTAATATCAGTACAGGAATCCAAACTGAGACAGTATTTTCACTCCACCTCTGTTGCTATCAGCTTCTGATATATAATGACAAGTATCAAACAACCTACAAATTGCCATACTCAGAAAAATCCACAGACCAACATGGCTCCATTCACAACCATAACAACCACCTGCTCAAACGATGCTCAAATGGCCCTTGGACACTGCCTCATTGCTCCAGAAACAGCACTCAAGGCAACCACGCCGTCAACATAAACCCAATCTTCACCAAGTGAAGACACAGTTAGAGGACGTGGATGGTATCTCTTCATCAGAAACCTGAGTAGCACACACAAAGTCATGGTAGTCCAAAAAAAAACCCCCTTCTAAGCAAGTGGAAGCCCCTTGTTGCCACACGTCATCCTATTTCACAATGCATATTAAAAAGTACCTAACTATTATAATCTGCACAAGGTGACCATACATTTTTGCAGAAACTTTTATCGCCTCCAAAAATATTCTTGCATTTCCTCAGGTTCATCATTAGAAGCAAGACCAGCGCACCCCAAACAAACCCACATCACGACAGAGCACCAGCCACAACATCTGGCAGCACATTACCCCACCTGCCCCCCATACCACCCTCGATAAAAGAAAACCATCAAGCTCCTTGGAAGCAACAAAGGTGACCCAGAAGATAACATAATTCACATAATCATCACATGCTTTCAGGCAAACTGCGTGGGTGAATCCAAAGCGGCACAATGCACGGCAGAAGAGATGCATCTGATCAATAAGGGACACACGCCTGGCTGCCAGTGGGATAATTTTATATGGGAGTTGTTCTGTCTCTGATGTCTCATACCTGATCCTCAAAAGGAAGACCTTCAGAGAAGAAGCCTAGAAGTGAAAATTCACAGTTCTACTGGATACTAAAAATCATATTTTTAAGAAGAGGGATGAGGTTTAAGGCACAATTTATTTTTTTCCTATGTTTTCTTGCCAGCTAACTCCCTCCCACTATGTGAGTGAAAATAGCCTGTCTCTTGGTATCTGTCCCAAAGTGGCTAAAGACTATTACCACCTTTGCCACTGCTCTCAGGTCTCTGGACAGCCAGCTTTCTCTTTCAAATCCTGAAAAGGATGTGGATCATTAAATTGAACACAGACCAACTGTTCCCAACCTGTTGCTTAAAGTCTGTTGCTTCTGCTTAAAACCTAAGATGGGCTTGGGCAACCAAATACCTGTCTGTCTTTCCAACTGTATGTTAGTGTTATAAAAGATACAATCTCTCCACACAAACCCACACAATTAATTTTTATCCACTAATAGTACACTTCGGTGTAATTATTTAACTCTTCAGTCTCTGCATTTAAAAAAAAAAATCCTTCAAAACAGTAAGACCTTTGCAACAATAGCAAACTGTAGCATCAAGTGCAACAGCTTCACAGCACGTCATCTGGGTTGCCATCATCTACAGCAGAACTGTTAGGCCACAGAAACTAGAGTCGGAACATAAATCCAGGACACTGGCCTTCCTATAAACAATAGTACGTCAAAACATTTGCCTTTTCTCAAAGTCCAACAGACAAATCATTATGAGCCTGTGTTAACCTTGAAAAGGTCTTAATTGTAAGCTTTGGCAGCCCTGTCATGGATTCGGTTTGTGTTTCTCTACTGGTATGGTCTCTCTATGCAGGATAATGCAAGTTGACTGCACCTACTTGTAAACACATGAAGTAGAACTGCAATGGCATTGAAATATATATAAGCAAGTCTACTCAGTTGACATACTTTAAAACTACAAACCCAAAATACAGTCAGGATTAATCCTATAGAAAATTATGACACTGTAATATGACATAAGCTGAATTCTTTACCAAGCAGCATGGCCCGGGCTGCACTCGGGGGTTACCTGCCTCTGTTGGTACTCCACCAACAAAGCCATTGTCCAGTTCTCTGGGCATGTTCACATAGTCATACAGGTACTGGAGAAGCTGGATAAATCTCCTTCATCTAAAAGTCCACTATAACCTACAGCACTACCCACACCCTGGTACATGAGCAAGGGTTTCTGTATGATGCACCTAAAGAAATCATACAAAGAGTGGAGAGTAGGAGGAGACTGGCCCCTTGCTGCATGAAATGTAGGATGAGATGTGTGAAAGTGCTACCTGCCAGGTAAGCAATACACTAAATCAGCTGTTTGATTGCCAAAAAGGTCTTTGCATCTCATCGTCAACTGATCTGACGCTAGTCAGTCTGCAACGTCAAAAATGCTTTTAATTTACACCTGGCTCAAGTCAGAACTTACTAAGATATAGGATGAACACTTTATGTTTTTCCTGCCAGGGAAATGGTCTTTCCAGAGCAATCATCTACTATCACAGTCAGGTTCTAACTCAGTGTAATGATGTAGGGACTTGCTGCATGGACGTGGGCGCATGCTGAGGACAATGAAGTATGGAGGGTTTAAGACACGCATTTAAAATTAATTTTAGTATGAAACTGTCCCTTTGGTCTTAAAAAATACATGAATACGTCACATCTCAGTCTATAGTTGATACTTCATGCTAGCATTGAAAAGCACTTGTTATGATCAGAACCCCATTGCATCGTGTATTTTGGAAGTCTCATTTCCATCTACAAGAACAATTTTGGTTTCTATCTTCTAATATAATTTGTATTTGAAAATGGCTTCTTTGCTTTGTAAGCTTGAAGAGAGTCAAAAGTAAAATCCACTGTCACCTATGTAATGAGACTGACAGTGCTTCAAATAAAATGAATTCAAATGAACAAGCTCATCATAGAGTATGTCAGTATCAACATTTTACATGGAATGAAACCAAGGTAGAGAAAATACCTGACATGCACAAAGTTGCAGACAGTGCCACGTTACATTGTGTTTTCAGAAGAAAATGCATAAACAGCAGCAACCCAAACATTATTAAAAATAATCTAATCTAGTTAGGTATAATGAATCTTCTTTGGTCCTGTTTGAAAACTGCTCCAGATTCTTTCCCTTTGGTAGTTCACGGTCAAACACAGGAATTACTGAATATACTGTACCACAAGGGAAGGAAAGCATGACAACAACTTTATAGAGTCCTCTTTAAAAATCAAGACATTGACACCATATTCTCCTGTAAGCAGAGTTTTCTAATTAGCCACTGCAACCAGCTGCTGTGGGCTTTCTTGAGCTTGAGGTTTCAGCCTTTTTTGACTTAGGGATGCACAGAATTTTCCAGTTTCCCTGTGCAGTTACTGATCAGATCAGTATACTGGCTGATACTGGTAAACAACACTCTACTGGATTTTCAATAGAGCTCTATTACATTTGAGACACTGGCTTATGGGACACTAGGACTGACGACACTAAAAATGTTTTGAAAATATGCACGTTAACATTTTACAAGAGGAGGAGATGGATTATTCAGCCTCAATTTGTTGCCAGAAAAGCATCTGACTCTTTAAAGGTCAAGTCCAGAAAACCGCAGGAGTGCAGAAAGTGTCTCTAGTTGCAATGTCTGACTGAGATCTGGGCTCCTGCATACATCTGAGGTCACTTTTCAGTGCAAAGACCTATGTGTTTGTTTTTGAGGTTAGTAGCTTTTCTCTGACTTGAAAATACAGCAGTTGAAAGATGTGGTGAGAAAGATAAAGACACCCAGTTACAGGCTGCATCACTCTGCCACAGCAGCAGCTATTATGCCTGTTCTTACAAACCCTTCTGCAATTTTCTACCTCCCCAAACAATAAAACCGAAATGAACAACAAGAAGAAAAACAGAAACAGAACCAAACTGCAACTTCCTCAGGTGGAAGGTCAAGCTGAAGTGATGGAAGAAGCTGATCTCCTCCTTTTCTGACTTTTGTTTTGTTTTTTAAGGAGCAAGAACAAGAGCAAAGCACTGAGGTTATTCTTTCTGTACGTGGCAGAGCTATGGGAACAATGGGTAAGTAACATGGGCGTAATGGGAAAAGCTACTGGGACTCTCAAGACAATCTGAGAACAACAAAAAAAAAAATCCACGGTACTGTTTGTACCTCTTCAAATGACATATAGCCAAAATGTGCTTAGTTAGCAACTAGCTACTAGCTACAACCCTCTCCGTGTGGAGAAAAAACCTGCTCACTTTAAAACTAATGCTTCCTACAAAAAGGAACAAAGCAACAATAAGGACATTCTCAACATTACCTTCACTGATGTAAGTCTCTGACAGGACTATTTCACAATTTTATAGGGTATAAAATCCTAGTTATACAAATAACAGTCTCCTGGAAAAGAACATGAAGTAGTCTTTTTAACCAAAGCACAATCTTTTTTTTTTTTTTTTTTTTTTTTTTTCGCTAGTAAATCGTAATGCCCAGCATTCTTCTTTCTCTATTATTTCAGTGCTTGGTACACTCTCCCCAGTAGGAGCTTCTATTTTATATTCTCTGGATGAGCTAAAGTAAATCAAAGAGGAGTATTTGTATTCCCTATACAAAGCAATGTGAAGATTCTAAACTCTTAAGTCATTAATGAATAAAATCAACTCGCACTCAGAAAACTGAGTATCAAACCCTCATTTTGTTGAAAATTTATTTGCAGCTGGCATCCCAGTTGCCCACATTTTAATTAGCAACACTCCAGCATTTCCCTCCAACTTTAACAGCTTCCACTGTTTAAAAACACAGAGCACGTTGTGAAGGGCTACTAAAAAAAAAAAAGGTATATGTTGCTGTTTTTCTTTCAGTCTTGTGAATACACTGCTCATAGTTAGTTACAATGAGGCCTTTCTTTTTTTTTTTCCTTCCTATTTTCTTTGCAAAAATTGTTTGAGAGGCGTATTACAGAACACATGTACACTGTAAACTAATTAGATTTATTTAAAAATGTGTGTTTTTTAAATTTAAATTTTAAAAGCATTAAAATACAATTTGATTTCAAGGAATGACCGTTTTAGAACAAGCTGTCGAGTGCAGAAGTCGCAAGTTTATCCCTGCAAGACTTCCTACAGAAATCAATTTCTCTTTGTTTACCTTCCCAGGATCTTGCCAAGCTTGCTGGAAAGATGACAAAATTGCCTTCTTGAAGGTATCATTAATACAGAAGCTGGTGTATTACACTGCTTCGGTAGACAGCCTATACAAAGGTGATAGGGAAGTGAGACTATATCTAAATTTTCCTCTAAAGATCTTTCAAAGAAGTATTACAGGTTTTTCCATCCCCTGGAGTACGGGTACCAACCTCTACAGTACAGGAGAGACTGGGAAGACGGGAGACCACAAAAAAGCCTCTGAAGGGGTAACCAGGACCACTAGAGAACTTTTCTGCTGTATTACAAAAAGTAATCAAGTTACAGAAAGATTCCAGCTGCAAGAATATTAACATTGCAACCTTGTAAACGTGCGTAATATTTACAGATATACAGAAAATGAAGGTCCCTTTCCCAGAGAAGAAAAGGTACAGTCCTGGCATATATCGTAATGGAATTGCAATTTCTCCTAATAAAAAGGTAGGCTTAATATAATTTCTTGCAAAAAAGATCACTTTCCCTGTCCCTGTACTCAAACAAGATATTGCTATTTCCCACCCATATGTAAATTATTTCCCTCCTCCTTCCTGTTGTATGTTCACTTACGGGTACATGGAGCAGCCACACTTTAGCCCCATTTAATATTCTATCATCTCTTCCTTCAGGAAATGCTACCCCTTTCTTTCTTTCTTATTTAGTAGATACTCAATTCTTTCTTCAGAAAATCCCAAGCAGACGACTGAATGTATCAGCATGTATGGTAGTTTGTACATTTTTGCTTCTTTCTTGTGAAAAGTCTTGTCCCCAACAGGGCTGACATACGATTACAAGCAATGCATCAAGTTTTAAGAAAGCAGCTGCTGCCTGAAAACAGCAGAAAACTTAACCAAGAAGTTTAAAAAGTTCATGGACTTGTTCTCCCAGTTGTACGTCCTTTCAGCCATCTAACCTGAACCTTAATAAAAGACTCAATGAAAAGAAAGATCTTGTAGAAAGCAGTCGTGCCTGGACCTTCAGAGCCAACACGAGGCCAAGACTCAACTACAAGTACGTCCCACTAGATTTTTCCCATCAGAACACCTTTAAGGTAGATATGAAAAGTAAAACCACTGCCAATGGATTTTCATTAGCATGAATAGCTGCATAACCAACGAAAACTTACAATTAGGACACTAGAACATCATAGCTTTTAAGAAGCTTGATTATGTCTCGGTTATACCCCCCGAATCTCACACAAGACTTAAATTTCTGTAATGATATGATGACAGCAGTTTGCAATTGGAAGAAAGATTCAAAGATTGTCTCCTGGTTGAAGTCATACTGTTGTAATTATGGTAGTGTCAGGGAAATGGCACAGAATCCCGATAAAAAGAGGAGCTGTACATCACCATAGCTTATTCCAGAATTAAGGAAGCAGAGTAACAGCATCATCATAAAACAATATACTCATATAAAATTGCATTTGCATTGCAGGATATACCAGTGTGACTATTTACGTTAAATGTCATTCCCTTAGCTGGAATAGTTATGTTGGTATGATCATCTATGTATAGATCAGACTTCGAACAGTAACTACTACAAAACAGTCCTATGAGACAGAAACAGTTACTTTTGGCTCTGTGGAAATAGACTGCCTTTCAGAATAACGCTTAAATATCATCCAGTATATTGTCATTTGTTTAATGTAAATAAAATCTTAATAAAAAGTGTAAAAGTTTAAATGATTAACACAGTGACTCATTTTCAGTATGACTTAACATTTCTCACATTCAACAGTAACCGCAATTATATATGCATACATACAAATTACTCAAAGAAGATCTTTAAGAAAAAGGACATTATAGTTTGTATGTACATCAACTGATCTGGAACAGCAGTGTGGGTGTAATATTGACAAAGCCAACACGTACTAAGAAGGTATGAAACTATGAAAAATTATCAGCTGTTATTCTTTTCTACTTGTTGTCAGCAAAGGACTGGAAACTAATGATTCTTTCCAAGTCTTTTACCCAACTCTGTATGATATTTTATTTGGCTCAAAGGAGTGCTTCCACATCTCATAGCACAAAGCCAGAACCGCCCTGAATGCCCAAACTCCGAAGTTACATTTAGAGAAAAAGACTACAGGAAGAATGTAATAAAGCCACAAGAAAAACCTTGGGTAAAGGTGGTCTGCCCTCCATCAGGTAACATGAGAGAGCTAGAACTGGCAGACTTGAGACAGAAAGAAGAACCCTAGAAGGCAAAATCTGGGAGAAAGCAGGTAACATGGAGTGTTTCCAAAGACAGTGGCCAACTGCGAGTGAAAGCGCTGCAGGACAGCAGCAGAGCAACTTCGGAGTCCTGAGCCAGACTCCTCCTGAAAAGGAGAAGGGAAAATACTGAAAAGTACTTACATTATATTGATGATTAGCTACTGGTTTATAGTTCGTGGTTACGGCCTTATCCAGCTGCTGTGATAACCTTACAGGTTTAGAAGATTCTTCGATCTGGAATCTGCAAAAGAAAAGATAAGGAGAATTAATAAGAAGTTCAGACAAGCACACCCTCAAAATGAATTCTAAAAATCTGCAAGTATGAACCAGCCCTTATCAAAGGTCAGCTGCCAACAAATTATAAGGCAAAACAGATGCTCTCTTCTAAATTTTTTTTCCTACTCCATTTTCGCTTGAGGACACTGTGAATTATTAGGACACTATACGCTACAGAAGATACTGAAAATGCTGAAAACCAAGAAACTGTGAAGGGAAGATACTAAGACCCAAAACATAAATTTTATTCCAAAAGAGTAACACTCAGGTGGAAGAAAAGCCCTTGCTCTTAAAAAAGATCAAACCCAGTGCAAATGAACCCAGAAGCTCCCAGCTTACTCAGCTGAGGTCTGAAAAAGCTTTTGATTCACCTCTGCCGACTCTCAGAGCACAGTGAAGATCAGACTCCATGACCTTCTCTTAGATATTTTAATGTAAAAATATAAATTTCTGTGACCTTCCTTTTGGCATTATAGTACAGTAATAGAGCACAAATAACTGTTTTACGAGCACTTTTAAAAGCATGAAGACAGAGAAATCCACCCAGGTTCAAACCAACAATCAAGACTCAATTATACAATAGGCGACCTTCAGTCCTCTTCAGGAAAGACTCTGAGAAGGTCAGAACTTGAACGCATTTTGTCAAGCACATCCCTATGTAATTTAAAGCTCATGTATGATGGTGTAGAAGGAGTGCTCCATTTACTTCAGGTTTAGCACTCAAGAATTACTACTGGAAATGAAGATGCAAGAAACCAAGCTTTAGAAAGGTGCAGGACAACGTCCCTTCAGAGAAAATAGCTTTATGGCACATAAAATTAATATGTTATCATCAAGTGAAGTTATTTTGTTTCCAAAGGAGTATCTTTCCCAGGGCAGAAGAGTCAATTTTCACTAAATAAACACAATATGAGACTTTCAGACCAATAAATGTACAGTGATGTTTCCTCTTTCAAAAGGAAAATGAATATAGTGACATTAAGGCAAACAATAACTACATGTTTACTAATGCAAAACACCAATGCGATAAAACAGACAATATTTTAAAAAACACTGCATTTAAGATCATTGATTTCTTTTTGTAAAAACATAATACACAAGAAACCCCTGAATTTAAATTCAGCTTGCATCTGGTCTGACACCTGAACAAAACCTAAATAAATTACATTTGGAGTAAGTATTGAATTAAGGAATAAATTCTCTAGTTTTAGCAACTGGAAATAAAGCCAATCATCCTTCATAGCTAGTATTGCTGGACAGTAGTTGCTGGCAGTTTTGTCTCGTACACAGACATAAACTTGCTTCCTCTTGAATCTTTGTAGACTTGTCATTCGTTCTATAGTTTTAATTATCCTTAAGTGACCATGTATTCTACATTTCTAAATAAGGAGAAGGTACATCAATGCCGCCTTCTGTCCAAATGTAGCATGTTTTTTTCATAGCTTGAAGGAAAATCAATCGAAGGTAAACGAGCAATGAACGCTTTTTACCCCTGTTCTGGAAAATAAAGGTAGAAGTTTTTATCACAAGAGTTTATCTTCTGGCCTTCAATCTAATTAATGATTTTAAAGATTTTATTGATCTGGTTACTAAAGGTCTTCTAAACTTACATTTCACAAAGAGGCACAGGCTAAAGCTAAATCAATATCTTTTCTCCGAATCTGTCTTTTTCTCCACTTCTTCATTGCCTTTTTTTTTTTTCTTTTTGGTCTCAATGATTTCTTTTATTTTTAAATAGTTTGGCTTTAATTATTTGTAAAAAAATATTTTCTTGCAGTTCTTCGCATTTTTCCTATTGTTTTGACTTGGGGAGTTTTTCAGTCCTCCCTCTTCCCCACTGTAGCTATTTTTCATCTCACTTCTCCCCTCTCACATTTTTCTTTTCCATAAAGGAGCTTTCCTGCTCAACATTTTTACTGATATTGCTCCTGTTCATGAGACAGCAGCTCCTGGAGATGAACCGGGAATTCTTGTCTCTCCTTTCACCTCCAAGGCCACTCTACCATCTTCATGGGGACCAGATTTAGATTATTTGATTTGCAATGTTGTTCCTGAGTCCTTCTCATTACAGCTGCAGCACAGGTAAGTGATAGACAAGGTTCATAACAATATTGAAATACATCAGATGGTCTCCTGTTTTTGAGGAGCACTAGACTTAGAGCAGGGGCATTCCTCCATGATTAAATCCTCCTTGCAGCAGACTTTATATTCATTACTCTTTACAATGTAAATTTATCCTCCATTCTTCAGGAAAACAGCCAAAGAACATTAGCCTTTCAATGACGAAATGACAGAACACTGAAAATACAAAACTGAACACCTCAGACCGTCTTCAGAAGGAAAAGCTTTAGAATAGTGATGCCAAACCCCCTCCATCTTCTTAATAAGATATTTAAGTGTGCAAGCAATGGATAGCTCTTTAGCCTAGAGCCTGTCATGAACTTTGGACTCAACGCTGAAGGTTTCTTCCTGTTCTGGCATTTTAAAATTACAATACAGGAAACTTCAACCTTCATTTCAGTGCAGCTTCCATAATTAATCCTTCTCTGCATAGAACAACACCAGCAATTTATTTCTTAACATTTTTCACTTGCCATGCAGGATATGCATTTCACCTTTTTAATTTTAACCTGCTGATTTCCAAACCAGTAGAAAACCAAACATGTAGGAGGGCTAATGCACTTCTCAGAGGCCTCCAACGATTGATGGCAGTGAAGTTACTTTTAACATATGAAGTTTCCCAGCACACAAGGTTAAAAGCAAAGAAAAACTTCTTGCCTCCTTAGGAAACAGGATGGAAGCCTACCAAGTGAAAACGGACAATCTGAGTTTCTTTGTGAAATGGCAGAAGACTTCAGAAAGATCTATGTACCAACTAACAAAGACATCAGCTACAAATATACGTGTGTCTGAAACAAATTTCATAGATATCCACGTTATACTTCAAGATATCTTGTCAAAAATTTAAAAATTACGACCCACAGATCTCAGATGGTCTTTAGAAAACCGGCTAACAGCACAATGTTAACTTTTTTTTCTGTTTCTAGTTGATAAATTGCTGTAGTGAGAACTAAAAATATATTACATTCCAGTATTACTTTTTAATGCAAGCAATTACAGCAGTTACCACATGCCAATATGGAAATCTAAATGGGAAGCACAGTGACTCAGGAGGAAAACCTTTTTATTAATATGCACTTATTCTACACACGCATCTTGCTCTTCTCCCTAATGGCTGCCCTTCTCATTTCTTTTTCTGCAGCTTTCAAGATCTCCTGGAGAATGACAGAGCCTCGAGCTACCTTCCTTCCATCGGGCTTCCATGCAGAATATGGTCACACAATCCTATGTGGAACAACAGCTGCTGTACATCTGGGGTTAGCCTCCCCAAAACGCACAAATACAGGTAAAGGGCCTGACAAATGAGCTACAAACCCCAAATTAGCAAATGTCTCATGTGTGGTTGAAGCACTGAAATTGGCTTAGTGCATTACAAACAGTAAAGACAAATAACCTGTAATAATTTCGTCCAGATGATTTGTTGCTATAGACACTATTTGCAGGGAAAATACAATGGGGTGGTGTTTTGGTTTTTTTTTGGTGGGTTTTTTTTTCCAAAACCATGCCATAATCCTCCCGTACTCAGAAAGCAGTATGTCTGGGTGAATATAATCGACTTTTAAAAATTGTATAGCTGTTGTTTGAAAAAAAGTTAACGAAATAATATTTATACATTCTAGTAATTATACACTAAAAATTTATAACAAAAGCTACGAATTTGGCATTATGCTAGCCTTTTAGATCAATGTTTTCCTGTGTTACAGATATGTAATTACTTTTAAATGCTCATTTTTTAAACAGAATTTAAAAAGCGGTACTAAACCAAAATATTATGATGCGTTTTATACAGGGTTTTCTCAGAGTGGATCTGCTGCATCTTAATTGAAACCTGGTAGGAATAAAGAAAAAGAAATCGATAGATATTCTGAGTCACTGGTGACACTGACTTAAAGGAGCAGTGGCTTTTTACCTATTACTCTTTATTATGATTTTCAGGAGTGTGACAGTTCAAAGCCTTAGTTATGGCTCAGAACTGCACACAACTCTCCGAGGAGTTAAATTTTCCACTTGACTTCAGTTGAAATAGCTACCACCATAATTAATGCTAATATCTAGCCTAAAAAATAAAAAGAGAATGCAGATTTTTTTCCCCCAAACTGCCAATAAATTAGCGACAAAGCAGCCACAAGCCTGCACACTGTGGTTTTCTCTTCCACCCCCAAGATCAAATACGGCCCTTCTGCCTTGATAAACAGCTAGCAACCAGCATGGTATTGAATTCACCATGGTCATTTCCCAACAAAATACATTTTACACTGCAACTTTGATTTGTCATTGTGCCTGCATTTGAATAAGGGGAAAAACATTTGAACAGGCTGGAAATAATTCTATAGGACTTGTCAACATTCAGCAGGCTCATAGAGGGAGACAGATGAAGGCAGTATGTACATTCCTAGGAGGAGATGCTCATTGGCTTTTAAATATATGTATCTTCCAGCAATAAAAAAATAAACCAAAGACCTTTAGAATAGATGATTTCCTGTGATAAATCTTCTGCCACAAAACAAATGTTTCAAAGATTAGAAGCAGGTATTAATCAGAAACGCTGCTAGGGCTTGAATTCTTGACGTTTCTGAAGAAATTATTGCATGGATGGGACTAAAAAGTTTCAATACCCTTTTGTGCTCAGCTGTATTTACACAGGGCACTAGTAAGTGAGGAGCCAACCTTACTGTTGCAAAAAAGGACAAGTTGATTTGCTTCTCTCCCTGCAATATCACCCAGCAGAGATGCACTGGAAAAGAGCAGGCCCACTGCCCAAAGCTTTGGAGGGGAAGAAACACAAACTCTCCAGCTCTGCACAGTTTTGCAGCTTTTTTATTTTTTTTATGACTCCTCGCAGAA